ATGGGCACCTCCTTGAGTTGATCAAAACTACAGGCAGGATTTAAAAAAAGACTAATAAAAATATAGAAATGTTGGCAAACAGACTTTTTAAATAGGGGCCTCAGCTTGGATTAAAAAAAAATAGATTTGCGTTATGTATGATATTTTTGTGGGCATGATGGCTCAGCAGTTAAAGAGCCTGTGTTAGCCTGGGAAGCTGGCAGCCCGGGTTCAAGACTCATGTGCTGCAGAATGAGGCAAGCTCATGTTACTTGGCCCAGCTCCTGCCAACCTAGCAGTTCGAAAGCATGTAAAAATGCAAGTAGAAAAATAGGAACCACCTTTGGCGGGAAGGTAATAGCGTTCCGTGCGCTTTCAGCATTTAGTCATGCCGGCCACATGACCATGGAGACATCTTTGGACAGCGCTGGCTCTTTGGCTTTGAAACGGAGATGAGCACCACCCCCTAGAGTTGGGAACGACTAGCACATATGTGCGAGGAGAACCTTTATCTTTAATACAGTGGACTAACTATCTGCAAAAAATTAAACGTTACCTGTATGTTTAAACATACATCTTCAGTTTTTGTTCTGTCTTGGCTTTTTTCTCTGTCATAATACGCTGAAACCTTTGATTGTTTGGCAGTGCCTGTTTGTCTTATGATTCAGATGTTAAAATTTAGAATTTAGAACTGAATGTCAGTTTGATTTCAGAAATAATATATTCACTAGGGATATATTCAGCTGGAATCCAACCCCATGAGGGTTCCTTCCCCATCTGCTATCATAGATTGCATCTATTGAAGTAAGCCACAGCTCACAAAAGTTTGTGTCTTTTTGTAACTTTTATTATTCTCAAAAGGGCCTACTGGACTCTTCCTGATTTTTATACATCCCACCAATTGTGTGGTTTCAACTAAAACCAGGGCTGGCACATAGCAAGCAATAAAAACAAAACTCCAACCACAGATGTTTTCTTCTTTTACACCTCCACAATTGGGTGGACCGTGCATTCTAGCATTTTTCTCTTGTGCTTTGGTGTTTTTTTTCCATTAGCGAGAATAACTGACTATGCTTCCCCCTAACTCCCAGCTCACTGTTTCACTTATGGTAGCGAGTTATAGACCTGCTTCCAGTCTATAGCTTGTGGAGACAAAAATAAGGAAAACTGTGTCTAGTTTAGGAGGATTTGCAGATCAGATGGATTGATGTAACAGCATATGCTTAAGTGAATCACCCAACAAATGCTGTCCAGATGACACTGCAAAGCACAACGAGCCACAATGTGGGCTCACCCACCTAACCTCCTTGCCGCAACTCAAAGACATCCTACTTAGAATACGTACTTTTTGCCAAAGGCAGAAGCAGCAGATTCTCACAATCTTCCAAACAGAGTTGGTGCATAGTCTGGAGGATTTATACTCCTGCTTGAATAATGCCTTTGCATTATTGCTCACATGTACCCTTTTTAGCTAATGAGACACTGCTTGGAGTCATTGATACTTTAGTTAGGTTGTTGGCTGTTATCACCTTTAAAGCCCTAGAAGGCACGGCTCCACAATGCTTTTTGCCTGTTCCACCAACCTGACAGAAAAGTAGGGGTGGGATTCTATTGGTTTGGACCAGTTCGGGTGAACTGGTAGCTCTGACATTTAGCTGGGAGTGAACCAGTTTGCA